CCCGCCAAAAAAGGGGAAAACCATGGCCGAGTCTGGAACCGTTCTACGAATCTCCCGTCTTTCCTGGGCCGAAGGGTATTTCAAGACTTGGTGGTTTATCAACCAGTATTCGAATAGGATGTCTTGCAGCATTCCGCATGGGACAGTGGGTGTTGCTGGTGCCCAGAGAAAGCCTGTGAAAGTGACCCGCGAAAGCCCGGAGTCTTCTGAGGTCATGACCCCAAGATTTCGGCTTGCTGAGTCCGTTTTGGAAGGGTCAGAAGGAAGTCCCGGTAGGGACTTCCCAAGCCTTCCGGATTTTCTCTTTCGAGGACGAGAAGGTGAAGTTCATCCAGGGCTTCCCGGACTTGGCATTGCAAGCGGCTCAGAGGCTCCGGTCAGGGAATTGGCGCTCTCCCTTGTTTTTTTTCCCCAACGGCAAGCAGCGGTGGGGGTTCTCTCTCTAGGCCCGGGGGAAGTAACAAGCGCAATTTTCCCCCTAACAGCTGAAAGCTGTGGGGTCTTTGGCCAAACAAGCTCCTGATTCGTCCGAATTCCAAGGAGCAGTGGCTGGATAGCGAAGGGTTCCGGAGGTGCCATGGATCAGTCAGTTGCTGGCGCAAAGGAAGCAGTTGCAGGATTGGGTTCCTGCTAGCCTGCTAGCCTGGTGCCATGAAATCGGGTGTCGCACAGGGTGATGGATTTGGGAGGCTTCGTAAGAGGCAGCGAGCGGCGTTAATTGGGTCCGAAGGGTTCAGCCAGAGAGGGTCCGGTGGTTGCAGTTGTGATACCTCCTGGGCTCAACCGTTTTTTGTTTGGTGAGCGGTGCCCCTTTGATTGAAAACCAATTAACCCAAACAAGTGGAATATACTGATTTTAATTACAAACGCGCTGACCATTCGGGGGCGAACAGTTCATGGCAATTTCCCGTTGAGAGGCGGGAAAGGAAGTGAATGCAATGCCAGACGAAAAAGAACTACTTTGGGCAGGGAGGAGAGGTGCGGAGCCTGGGTTTTATCAGATGGTGAAAGGGGAGGTGGAAGACAGGTGTCCCCTTTAAAAATAGCAACCCAGGGTGACCTTCCGAAATTGCTCGCAATCATAAGCTAGCCAGTTGCCCGGTGGATTTCGCGCTTTTCTGGCTTTAGGTTCCCTCAGAAAGTTTCAACCTTTCAACCGCGAAAAATGTCAGGGTACCCCACGACTGACCGAAAAACGGCTGACCCTTTGCTGGGCTCCAGACGTTAGTCTGGAAGGTTCCGAGGCCTGAACTGATGGCCCATTCACCTGCGTCATTTTTTACCAGCTCACCTTGCGAAACGGCTAAGCGGCTAAACCCAGCTCACCCACGAGGGTCCCTTACTTGGGGATTCCGTCTTTCTGGTTTGTATATGGTTGTTGTTGGGATACATTTTGCATTTTTGTTTAGGTTTAGTGGGAAATCTCACTTAACTACTAAGATTTGAATCTTTGCTCCCCTTCCAACGTCAAACAAGCGTAAACTCTTGTTGCCCAGATTTGTTATGTTCCAGCCCTGTGTTGCTACTCTGTCAATCTGAGGCAGCCCTGTAGATTGGGGTATGTCTCCGTCCAAACAGTACCCCCAAAAAAAGACATGTACGCCGTGTCAACCTCCCGCGAAATCCCGAGGTCCAACACCATCTGCAACAAGATTGCGGCGAAAGGCTTGCGCAAGAAGGCCACCAAGGCTGTACAGACGGGGGGCGCCGTCGCCCGTTCGCGAGGGGGGTGGGGCCAGGGCCATACGAAGGGAATCGGAGTCCCCTGTTGATGTATTCAGTCATACAGTTGTTATGACCCCACCTTGGCAGATGGTAAGACAAGAGTGATTCGCCACAGCCACTCTCTCAACAGGGATCTCTTCAGATTTTTCATAGTTGAAGGTTGAAACAAGCTTGCATCTTTATTCAACACGGGCTGGTGAACAGCCATCCCAATGAACAGGATGTCCACCAATGGCTCCCGCCTTTGAATGTCGGGGGTTATTGTGAAGATACCCGACATTGATGGCTGAGCCAACCAGCATCGCTACCCTTCCACCGGTTTCGGAAAATGGCCGAAGCCCTGCCTGGCAGTTCGTTCCTTCTAGATGCCGGACTTTTTTTCCGGAGGAGATGGCAAAAGGAGACTGGACCCAGTGTGTGGAGCTGCGAACCATGCTCACTCTGCAATGTACTTGGCTCTGGGTGTCACAGGGTCGGAGGAGAAAGTCGCGAAGGATTCATTTGCCCGAAGCAAGAGATGGGGCTGTGGGATTGCCCCATGAACAGACTCGAAGTTCTGGGTAAAGGGATGGTGTCCCTTTACGTGGCTGCTACTTGATCGGATCTTTAGCTTTGAAGTTCTGTGGAAGATGATTTTTTCTTGCCCAGTACCCAGTTATCGTGTTGCGAGGCGGCAATAGCCGCGCAGCTTAGAGCGAAACTGAAATTGGTGCGAGTTATGCTGACACGTTTCCCTAAATACGTGAAGCCACTGCACCTGTAGCCAAAATGTGCTCCTCGCAAAACGAGCTGTGTTGCTGATTGTACCCGAGTGGCCTTATCGCCACATGGGTTCCCGCTTCCGGGCTGCTTGCAGCAATGGTCTCGATGGTGCGCGTCATGATGGCCTTGCTGGTTGCAGCATGCGCGACTTGTCTGACGTGGCAGTTTTCTGACTGGTGCCAGCGACGGTGCTTGATGAGGGCTGCACATTGCAACCTACTGGGGGGACTTGGGGGTTGAATTGCACCATTGCAATTCCGGATCCCCTCACCCCCTTCCCCTCTGTAGACGGGGGCATGTTGCTTTTCCTTTGATTCTACCCCTACAAAGCACCAGCCACAGACGTCCGCCTCATGGTTTCATTTGCATAGCCTTCATAGCTGCAAGCACTTGATTCTTCGCGCGGCTGGAGCTTTGTTCAGAGGCTTTCCTCATTTAAGCCACGTGCTCAAACCCCGGCTATATGAAGGTCAGGGGACAATCCCAACCATAAAAATCGCTTCGGAATTTCGGCTTCTTAATTCCTGAAGCATGTTTCTGGGTAGACCATTTTAGTACCGGGTTTTGATTGCGACTCATTTGGAGACATGAGAAGAACCAGCCTAGGTCTTGACGGTCTTGGTGTCCTTCAGTCACACCTCCCGCGTGGCCGGCCTGCCAAGCCACGTCATAGGCGCGCCACAGCGCGAGTGCCGCGAGCAATCCATCATCTGTTTTTTGAGGGCACCCTTGTTGGGGTTGATTTAGAAGGAAACCAAAAGGAAACCACCTGTTTGGACGGCCCCCCTATTTTGGGACAAGCCCAAATGGAACCGTGGTTGCTTTGTTGTTGGTGGCAGGTTACTTTCTTGTAGCAGATTGGTTAACAGGAAGCCAAAGCTATCGGATGGAACCCTCACCTCACTTGTCCAAAGCCGACCTTCCCCGGCTCAATTTGTAGTCAAGGTTCAAAACGGTGAACCTTCTCTATTTCCAGGCCCTTGCAAGTGAGAAGCCCATCGGGATTCTCCAAAAAATACGGACGGTCCCGGTGGGGGAAAACCTACCCTGCAATTCTTGAACCCATAGAGAGTGCGGAGGTTTTCCTTTTTTTTCCAAGCGCCTACTGAGGGCCTACCGGCGCCTCCATGCCCCGCTAAAGAAAGACGGGGTTGTGAGGCCTTTCTTTTGAGTAAGGGTCGAGAATCCAGGTAGGGGACCAGCCAGGCCACCCTTGAGTTTCTTCAGCGTGATTCCGGGACAACTTTAGGTGGGGGGGAATGTTTAAAGCGGGAAAAATCGATGGCCGGAAGCCTTTTTTGTCATCCAATCCTTTTTTCGTGGCTGTTGATATACTCAATGCATCTATGCCAAGCGCGGCGACGCACATCACGGTGAACTGATTGGACCCCTGGGAAAAGGGAGCGGCTGAATCAGCTTGGCGTCTTTGCTTCACTGCTTGGGTCCCATTTCGGCGGAAGCCCCCGCCATTTGGGAGCGCTGCTTATCCGACCTCCGGCAGGTTGAAATCCAGACGTGGTGGCGTCCAGTGGCTGCGGATTTGAGCATGTAGCATGATGTGCTGCAATCTTTTCAAGCTTCAGTTACATCTGTTCAACATACCAGCGGAACCTGCTGCCTCAAGACATGCGATGTACCTCCGGGCACCGCTGAAGGCTTCAGATCCACCAGTTCAATGGCTGGATTCTTTTTGGTTCTTTTGGAAAGCCAGCAGAAGGTCCCCGCATTTTCGGTGAAGACACCCAGCTCGAGACTCGACTCGACTCGGGGCGAGTCGGAGAGATCTGCAGAGGCTCGCTGGACAGCAGCATGGTGTCGCGGCTGCTGGAGTTCCCTCAAGCGGTGAAGACCCTGGAGAGGAGCTGGGTGTGTCTGTTGAGGGTTTGATTCGGTTGATGATTGTTTGTGTGTTTTTTTGAAGGGCAAACCAACATCAACCCAGGCTGGGGGTTTTATGTTTTGTCTTTTTGGTTGAGTAGAACACCAACATCGATCCAGGCTGCGGGGGTTGGCCATTTTGGGACACGCCCAGATTGACGTCTTCTTCTAAAGGGAAGGCCAAAAAGCTTCCGCCGGGCTGGGGGGCTTGGCCGCGCATGGTGCCCCATCCTATTGACCACGGATGTATGGCGCCCCTGGTGGCCCTGCCCTGAGCCCGCTATTGTGGCAGGAGGGTTGGGGAAGGAAGCTATGGAGCTATGAAGCCATGGGCTCTGCTCCAAAGATACTATGTGATGAAGCAGAATCTGAAGAAACATAGGGCTGTTAGAGTCCCACAGATGGTAGAGCCTGACGTATGGTCAGAGGTGCTTGCCCCAAATGGATCCTTATGCCAGATGGGCTCTTCGACTTCGAAGAGCCTATAAGTAGAGCCTGGCGGATTTAGGGGGTTCCGCTCAAAGGAGGCGTTTGTTTTTTTTGGGCCGGCGGAAGTCGGTTGCCTAGTCAAGCAGAGGATGGGTGTCTTTTTTAATACCCGTTTTAAGGTTGGTGTTCAAGGGAAGCCAAGGCAGAACGGACAATTTTTTGAGGCAACCTCTATTTTGACACAGACCCATATCCATCCGATGCTTCCCGTTGGGGACTGTTGGTCCTTGTGAAGAAGTCATCGAGCAGGCTTTCTAGTCTTTACCCCCGAGTTAACATGGAATTTAAGAAGCCACCAATTGGGGAGTTGTTTTAATGGGATCGATCCCATTGTTCGGCTCGTGAATTGGTTTTGGAGGTTTTTGCCTGACGGATCGCAGATGAGCGCCGGTCGGTTTGTGCCATTCCGTGGCTCGGTTTATGCAACGAGCCGTTGGGCGCCACCACCTCTAGCCCCTCGGTGGGGCGTCCATTTGGGTGTGTCTTATTTTCAGAGTACGTATTTTGGGGCTCTCATGGAAGGGAAACCATCACACCTTCTTCGGTGGCGGGTCCTATTTCGAGACCCCATTTGCTGAACTTTATTTAGTGGTTGATTGGTTTCTAGTTTCGCTTCTCGGTCTTAAAGGGAAGTCGACTTCGGTCTTAAAGGGAAGTCAATCATGACTGACTGGAAAGCACATATATTGGAGTGGCCCGAATGTCCGGTTTCACTTTTTCAAGCTTGGGCTGCTTTTTGCCAGGATACATCTTTCATCATTTGTTGGGTGGAATGCTATGAAATGCACGTTGATGCCGTGCAGGGTCTGTTTCTCTTTGAGTGTCCCCTTTTTGGGTTTGTGTGAAAGGGACGCCAAGTGGAAACCGGTCAATTCGTTTGGGGGAGGAGGTCCAGCATTTTGATACAATTGCATGAATGTTTTCATTGGTTCCCATTTACATTTGAAGCCAAGCCGGTCCATTTTGCGACTAGGAGCCTCCATAGGCTGATTGTCCCAATCGCGCACACTGAACGTCTGCTGCCTGGGCAGGGATTTTGAGTCTGTCATTTTGTGGGGTCTCCAATGTTTTAATCGAAAATGAGGTCTTTCTCTATTTGCGGGTTGGCTCCGTCTTCTTCTATTTGAGGGTTGGCTAAATTTAGAACATGATGTTGTTTTTGTTTGAGGGGTGGTTGGAACTGAAGCAGACATTGTTTTCTTTCCTACCCCTTTTCGGCTGCGCAGGAGCCTCTTGAACTTAGAGCAAAGCATCCATGACTTGGACGCGGAGATGAAGCCTGAGGACAAAGCTGCGGCTGTCTCTGCGCCCGCGCAGGCCCCCTCACTTCTTTCTCGTGACCCACCCTCCCCAAAAAGGTTTGTGTGGACCTCCAAGGGTTTGGTTGGTGCCCAACTTGGTTTTGGTTCCCCTTGTTTTGGTTGATCCCCAACACGACGTTTAAACCACTTTTTGCCCGAGGTGGCAGCTTCATCTTGGCAGGAGTTTGTTGGTCGCGGTATGTATTGGCTCCAGGTTATCGTCTCAATTCCCAACTTGTTGGTTGAACCCCTTTTGTTTTGATTTTAGGGGCTCCCGTTTTTTTTGGGCCAGTTGAACCCCTTTTGTTTTGGCTTCGGACCCATAGGTGTCCTTTTTAGCTTAGTTTGTTTGGAAATACGTGGGTTCCACCGGTTTAGCTGGGTATTACGGCATCTATTTCTAGGTCCCCCAGTAGTATTTCTGTTTTGGTTGGGAGGGTTCCCCTACTAAAATAGACTACAGAAAAAATCGGGTACCAACTTATTCTAACCTCTCAAGTCTGGAGGACCTACATTTGTCCAAAGGGTCACCTACTGTGGATGGACGAAATCCTGCACCACTTTGAAACCATGGGAAACCACTGACTGTTTGTTGGTATTTACAAGGGAATCATCATTCCAGAGTTTGTTAGGTGGTGCAGGATTTCATCCATCCACAGTAGGCTTCCGACCCCGGCAATCTCGACGCATTCGCAGTCGGCGCCGGCGAGCGCGGCGCGCGCCGCGAGCCCCAGCACCAGCCGGGCGCTGAGCCGGCAAAGGGGCGGAGAACGCGGACGCAAAATTCACGGTTTTCCCATGAGAGATGAACCCCCATCAAGAAAGACGGCAAGTTATGTATACATATATATATATATATATGTGTATACATATATATATATGTATTATGGGGGTTGATCAATATTCCTGGCCAAACAATCACCAGTAACTTTTCGGGTTTCGTGCGAAACACTATCTTCTTAGTGGTTGTCCGCGATAGTCATCCCATGTCTTTCATCAACCCCCCCAAAAAAACCGCCCGTGGGCTTGCCCCGAGAGCTTCCAGAACCCGCTCCGGAGCGGGGGCCCGTAGCTTTGGCTCGGGAATAGAGATTCCTCATGGGTGGGTTCCATGTCCATTTGCAGGGGCTGCAGGGGAGCAAGCAGCAGTGAAGTGAAGCAATTTATTTGCAGCCCAGCGCTTCAAACTCGCAGAAACACGCAGAACATAGCATCATGCAACAACAAAACACAGCCGACGAGCACAAACAAAGCGCAAACATCCCGCAATTCCAAAGTATCGAGGTCCAAACAGTTGCTCACACCACGGAGTGTTCACTAGATCAAGCGTTGCCCAAACAAACAAACTTTCTGGACAACTTCTCAGGGAAGGAGCAGCTTGTTGGGGCCGTGCAAAGTTCGGGGTTTGCAAAAAGAGTGTGTCAGGGCATAGAATCCAAGTGTGGTACTTGATGGGTCCAAGTGTGGAACGGTTACAATTTTGGGTCGGAACATGTTCTTGCCCGGCGAATGGATCCGATGGATCCACTCGACTCCACTTGACTTTGGCAGGCAGATGTTGAGCCCAAGCTCACTGGGAAACACTCACAGGGTTGCTTGTTTGCTTACTAGTTCTCAGTGCATGAAGGCCTAAAATCTGCTTTGTCGGCTGTCTTTCGCGAACGAGCCTAAATGCGCAGGACATGTATGGACATTTTGGGAATGATCATATTTGCCCATGAGTTGGTTTCGAACTGTCTACAACTCATCGAAGCCAGACAACAAGTGAGAGAATCGTGGAATTGTGCCTGGGACTGAAAGGTGACTCCCAAAAGGCGCTCCGATTTTGATGCGTTTGTTGGGCATGCCACCCATGTTGCACCCAGAACCCAAACCCGCCCCAAACCCCCCAAAACCCCCAAAACCCACCCCAAATAAAAAACATAACCCAACCCCCCCAGGTCCCCTCAGGCGCTTTGTCGCCTGGATCAATTTCAGGTTCTGCGCCGGAGCCGCGCTGGCGAAAGGACCGGCGCTGCGGCAAGAACGCGGCTCGGACCCAGCAGGGAATGCGGGAGTGCCCCACTATGGTTTCATAGGGAATCCCCGAAACCGGCTCATTCCCAACACCCTGAAGGTCATTACTTACTTAGCACCAGCAAGATGTTTTTTCCTTTCGGATACACGGAGTCAAACTGCGGAAAAGGTAGCATACAGCTGGATTTGCTGGCGGTGTTGTTTGAGGCTCGGTACCTTGTTCAGGCTGGTGAAAAAGGGAACCCAACAAAAGGCCGAAGCCTTTTTTGGATGTCCCCATGTTTGACACAGAAACGGCACAAATGTGTCTTTATTGAAGGTACAATTCATTGGGGGGGGGGGAATCGAAAGGGGACGTGTCACAACGTTCCACTGCCTTGTACACTGCATGGAGGCTTTTGGGAAGCATTTTGATAGACTCCAATTTGATCGCAACTGCTCATGCCGTGTAATTTGTAGCTGCCACAATGGCAATGCAGAATATGGAAGATGCAAAAAAAGGCAATCTATTGTTCAGATTCCATTGCCAAAGCAAATTGGGCGCGAGCCTAAATCAAGGGAATTACCTTGGTCTTGCTCACGTTTGGAATCTCAGGCGCCTCTACCAGACGGGAAGCCTTCCGAGTGCGATCCCACAGGAGAAGTCCCCGATGGGGGGCGAAGAGGTATTTTTCTCCAGGGATCCGAGTCTTTCTAGCAACCTCCGGAATCCCACGGAAAACGGCTGGTTTTGAAAAGAACGATAGTTGAATAGAATTCAGTTAGCTTCCCGCACCGCCCCAGGGCCTCAGTTGAGTGAGCCCGTCTCTTGGTGCCACGCCATGGGAGAACCTTCCGGGCGAAACTGAGCAGCGTGGTTTCGACGGTTTTGGATCTCTTTTTTAAGCTTCGTTTTGGTGGCTGCTTATTAGGTTGTTTCTTGCTGTCCTTCATAAAGGGTCCGCTTGTGTTCTTTGTGTTAAAGAGTTTGTTTGTCATGTTCCTTTTTCAGGGCTTCGTTTTTTGGAGCTCGCTAACTCAAAACAGGCAGTCCTAGTTTTTCCGAGCTCCCCAGGCAAGGGAGACTGTGTAACCAAACGTCGGCGAATTGCGAGAGCTGGCTTCTCGGGAAAGCGGTGTCGGGATAGCACATGTGATTCATGGAAGAATCAAGGTAACCTTCATGGAATCTTTGACCATATTTTGGGCTCGCATCAATCATCCGCACACTACCCCGTACTCTCCGAAAACAGCCCCAAGGCAGCCACAATCAAACTTGGGCAGATGCAGGGCAGGGACACTCCCAGCCATAGAATGTTTTTTCGGTGCGGCGCCTTCAGTTCTTTTACATGTTTTGTGTGTAGCGCAGGTTTTTTTTAATCTTAAAACAAAACAAAAACTGTGACACAGGTGGTTCCCCCCTTCTCAAGCATCCAACTTGCCCCCTTGGGCTTGCAAGTTGGATCCGGAGTCTGAAGCTTTTTTCCCCGCAAAGAGCTTGGCGCGGGCCGAAGCAACGCAAAGATTTTCAAGCAGGGGAAAGGGGAGGGAATGTTGCAGAAGATGCTGAGGGAATCGATTCCCAAGCCCCTAGGTCATGTTATAATTGGCTGGCATACTTGAAGCACTTACACCCATGACATCTTTCAGTGTTGGCCTGGAAACAGGTGCTTCCAACAACTGGTTAGCGAGAGGTGAAACACTTCTTGTCACTTTTTTGCAGGGGGTGAGTCATTGTAAGCTCCCTGGGCAGCCCCCAGTTCTGAAGGCTTCAAAAGTTGTTCCCCAGAACAGACTCTGCAGCCTACGGCCTGGATGCGTGGGTTGCCCCATAGGGTGCGGGGGAAACTGTAGAGGGTTCGAGCACCTACGCACTTCTTCCCCTTCTCCCAAGACCGTCCTCAGGTACCGAGGGAGCCTTTGAGTTGACAATTTGGGTATGGGTCAAAATTCAACCACCAGGGACCGCAGGTTTTAGTCTCTGTTGCAATTTACCCGGGTTCCATTCTGGGTACCTATTTTTGACCCATTTGGGTACCTTTTTGCGTCGCTGCCGCTCGCATGCCGGGGCTGCGCGAGGAGAATTCGCCTGTTGCTCGGCCATGGGCTGGTGCGGGGGCTCCAAGCAGCACTGCAACTGCAAAAGCCCGGCGCTCGGCTGCGCGAGCGTGTCTCAGGCGACCCTACGTGCGATGCTCGTCGCAAGATTCTTCGGAGAAATTCCACTTCGCACCAGTTGGTAGGTGGTTTATCCCAGTATTCAGAAAGCTGAATCGAAACTGGGTGTAGCATTTTGCCCAAGGGAGCGTTGGGCACGCGTGTTGGGTGTTGGCTGCCGCGTTCCGCATCGATCTTCCGATGCTGTATTTTGTCGCCAGGCGAAAGACGGAGAGAGGGTGGGGAAATTCCACAGAGACTGGCCCAGGCTGCGTGAACTACAGGGAGCAGTATGTGACCCAACTGGGCCATGGCGCCCCGCGCTCAGGGTTCATTGAACCATGCCGAGCAAATTATAATTTCCAAGAGGCACAGCACATGGGGCCCTTTAAGCAATCTGACACTGTGATCAAGCCACAAGACGAGGCCGTGCACGTGGGGTCCCAACAATGCGCCAGGTCCATAGGGGCAAACATTTAGAATGGAGTGGGGTACTTTGAGACCACATTAAGTCATGTTCATAGGATGAGCATGCATACTTATTTTGCGTCCTCCAAATGATCCGTTTGACGCTCCAAAGGAAGCAAATGCGATACGCCCTTTTTCCCGCCTCCGCCTGTCTATTTTGTGTTGGAAATTGGAATTTAGGCCCGCTTGCGCGACTTGAAACTGACCAAGTAGTCATAAGAACTGTCCACTTTGCCAATCCAAGGCGAATTTCCCACAACCATACCAGTTGATAGGTGGTTTGCCCAGTGAATTCCCACAACTACGCCAGTTGATAGGTGGTTTACCCAGCTTCCAGTGGCTTGGCATTTTTTCAGGACCGACTCGCAGGCCGCTTCGCTCCGGGCTTCTCCTCAGGTCGCGGCCTTGCCGCCGATGCCGCCGAGGGACGGGCACAAGGGCCGCACGGTGCTGCTGGTGATCCCGTTCCGGGACCGAGAGTCCCACCTCAAGCTCTTCAAGCCCCTCGAAGCCATCGGATCGGAGGCTTCCGCGCTGATGCGAGGGCGATGTGGGCGATGATGCGAGGGGATGTTTTTGGTTTGGAGGCCGAAGAAGGTGGTTTTGGGGAGGCTTCAAAGACTCGGCCAGGTGGTGGTATGATATTATAGGTGTCTACATATAGATAGATTAGATTAGATTAGATTAGATTAGATTAGATGAGATGAGATTAGATTATATAGATAGACAGATAGATAGATAGATAGATAGATAGATAGACATACACATGCTAAAACTACAGGTATAGTTGATAAGATTTGTTTGAGTGATTTGGCTGGTACGCGTCTTTGGTTGTGAGGTTAGTTTGGTTGCACCCTAAATATGGGGCGGCTTCAAATGGAAACGTAGGGCAACCCGTCCATGGCGGGAGGGTGATGTCCCCCATTTGGAGACAAAATGGCTTCGAAGGGAGGGAAAGGATATGACTCCCCATGTGAATGATGTCCACATATCAGTTCCCACTTAGAGTCCATTCCTATGAGTTTGTCTTAAGCCAAAGGCTACACTCACAAAATATATTTTTGCCTTTTGGCGAAGGCAACAGAAATAAACCAAAGAAAGGGAGACCTGCCTGTCGTGATCATTTAAACCTCGTGTTTTGACCCCTGAAACCAAAAGGAGCCCGTGTCAACAAGTGGCTTGAACAGACTGATTGGTAGTCTGCTGTTTGTTTGGAGGGACATTTGGGGACCAGCCGAAATTCCCACCGCAACAAGGCGGACTTGGGTCTGTCTTTTTTGGGGTTCCCTTTTCGGTTGGTTTTAAAGCGCAACCGACAGATCCAAAAGGACACCACCATTTTGGGGGGACCCAATTATTGAGACAACCCCGTGTAAGCAATGCCCTTTTGGAAGCAAGTCAATTTGACCATCGCTCATGTGTAAGAGACTTGGAACCTTATACGTAGCCCCCCTGCCCAGGTGGTTGCTTGCCGCTTGTTCGTCGTTTCCGGTTTTTGATGTGGGAGATTCCATGTCAAAGCAACCGCCTACAAGAGAATGCCATGGTTTCTTCCCATGGCTATTGGGGGTCTCTGACAGTTTGAGTGCTGCCCTTGTGGCTGGTGGTTTTTGCATCATGCGAGGGGGGGGAGAAAGGGGACAGGTGATCTACTGAAGTGGAACGTGGAAGGGGCGGGGGTCGTTTTGCTTGTTTTCTTTGCTTGCTTTTACTGCTGAGCCATTGAGCTGTTTGTTGGATCCTTCTATTAGATGCCTCTTGCAAACCACTGCAGAGGGAGGGTTTGAGTGTCTCATTAAATAGTCTGGCGTTTCAAAAGAACATGTCGTCAATGAGTGGAGACAGTGGGACCCTGCAAGGGGAACCCAGAACTAGTAAACTGTTAAATTAGTAAACCCTCGGTTGACAAATGGGGGGTTTAACCCAACATGTCCCTTTTGGAAGGTTGTAACATCACTTGAGCGTCTACCAAAGCCCCCTGTCTGAGGCCACGTATTGCAACTGTGTGTGCACCCAAAACTTTTGGGGCTGCTCAGCGCATGCAGTGATGCCTTTTGTACCATAGCAGGCCACCAGGAAATTTTGTCATGTAGCATCTAGGGGAAAAATAAACAGAACTGTTTGCCTGCCATAGTGGTAGTTGGATCCGCTGGGTTCTGCTTCAGATATGGCTGTGGATCAAAACTACTGGTACAATTTTGGGGTGGGTGGTGCCATTTTAGTCCATTTTAATGGGATTGGGATGTTCACTGCGGGTACGGGCTTTTGACCCATGGCCATATCTCGCTTGCTTGGGATTTGCCCAAGGAAGATTGAGGAACATGGGATGTAGTGTCCAACTTCTGAAAGGCCGTCCACTGCAAAGTGGATGGGTGAAGGTCCCCTTCCCCCACTCTACACTCCAGCGAAAGCCAACATGGAGCCCAAAAGTGCCATCTTTAGGAGCGGGCCCCATTTTAGGTTTCAAGCCTGGATGGGGTCATGCGTCCGTCCATTTGGCGGATGGTTGAGCTCTGAGCTCGCTCGCAGCTCTCATCTCAGGCAGTATTGGCGCTGGTTCGCGGAGCATGGCCGGAACCCGAAGACAGTGCGGGGTCCCGGAGTGCACGTGAGGACGTATGGGGCGAAGCTTCCAAGAGGGTTCCACCCCATTTTCCCGTGGGGCGAAGCTTCCAAGAGTCTAGGGGTTGATTCCTTTTCCATTCTTTTCAACCATGGTTCTTTCCAAAAACCGGCCGTTCTCTTTCGGGTTTCTGGAGGTTTCTAGAAAGAAGGATCCCTGGAAAGTATGGGGAAGGTATCCCTAGAAAGAGGGTGTCATTGTTTGGGAAGGGTTGCCCTCCGTTTTGGGATCCAGCAGTTGTGTCCCAACATGTCTGCCTTTCCCATGTCTCAAATCCCACTGTTGGTAGTTCCTTTTTTTGGAAAGGGCTTCTTTTTTTGGCCAAGGTTCTTTTTTGTGGAGAGGGGAGGGGTTCGTTTGTTTGGGGGGACCTGTTCTTTTTTGGGGAAGGGTAATTATTTGTTGGGGTCTGATTGGACAGTGTTGGACCCGTAGACATAGCCATGAGGTCAGATTTCCTTTCCCAGGAGACATATGCAAAGTACAGCTGCTTTGTTATACAAAGGGCTTCTTTGTGAGGAAAGATGCAACGCTTCAACCTGAGCCATCCTGTTGTTTTCTCTTCGACTTGAGCTTTCCATCAACCAAATGATGTCCCTTCCATCACTGGGCAAAGATGTCCTGTTTCTCCTTAAGGTGCTCCTCAGCTACCAGCTTTCATCATATACTCGTCCAACAAATTAATCGCTTCTGTGTTTGCGGGCTGTTCACAAGTGGGGGGGCGGGGGTGGCATTGAAGTTACTTTGAGCCTTGTGGGTCCGTCCTGTACTCTGGGTTGTTCCATGGATTTGGGGAAAACCAAGCGAAGGTGATCTTCCTATTTTGTACTAGGTTGTCTTCATTTCTTATGTTCGGTGCACAAGAATTGCACCGAGAGCGCTGCAGTACTGCATGATACATGTTGCTCATGAATTTATGATTTCTTGCTGTTCCCGTAGCTTTGTGAACCTTTTTTGTTCCATAGTGAGAACTCAGGGCAGTTCTTGTCAGCATCGAGTCGCAGGTTTCTGTTACAATGGACCCCTGAACATGGCTCATATGTCGTGTTGGTCGAGTTCTCGAGAGAGGTGACCACCCTTTGGGGAAATCCCCACATGTGTTTGTGGTTTCTCTTTTCATGGGTTTGTTGGTTGAAGACTTCGGGCTTTCTTTTTTCAGAGCCCATGAGAGATAGACCGATAGACCTCCAACTCCATGAAGCTTCCCGCACAGGGATCAATTCAAACGCAAGGGGTTTCCAGGGTATTGCCAGAGGGGAACACCACTCCATCTTTGGGCAACATATAGAGCCTCTCCAAAACCTTGCGGTTTTCACATGGAGTGGGCGGAGGGGGTCAGTGGCTTCACGTTTCTTTTTGCGGCTCCAGCCGCCAGAATCGGCGGCTGATCCGTGCGCCGGCTTTTTGCCGCGCGAAGCGGCATGTGTTGGGATTTCCACTAGTGCCTCGCTTGGTCAAAAATCGTTTGGTGGCCAACTGGCGCCTTTTGGTCGTCAATTCTCGGCGACTTTGCTGTGTGATTTTTTGGACACTTCTCATTCCCAGCTTCTCTGAGAGGATTGGGCCACCCGGCCCTACCATGGTTCAAAGCACCGTTATTTAAACAACCTCATAGGTTTCGTGTTGAAACTGGCCAGTGTTTGAAGCAAATTCTGCCACCAAGGGTCTCCAGCTTTCCGAGTTTCGGTCTCTGAACATTAAGCCATTGTTAACACAACATCCTTTTTGTTGTCTTTTAGCGGGGACCAGTGGGTTGTTTGCTTTGTTTGCTAAAACATGTTTGTTGGTTTCGGTTCAGAGGCTCTTGTCCTCCTCGCGCTTTCTCGCTTAGGTGCAGCGCTGGGTGGTCTACGTGTCGGAGCAGTTCGATTCCCAGACCTTCAACCGGGGCTGGAACTTCAACACGGCCCTGGCAATCGCCTCCGCCGCTCACGTGAAAGCCAGGGACTGGGGAGGAGCGGGGCACGCCCAAAGGGGGAACAGAACTCAGTGCTTGAGGTCCTGGACTGAAACTTGGGACCTTCGGCATTTGTTTGAGGGGGATCATGGGCCAACGGGAGACCATTTTTTTTGTAACAAAAGCACGGTATTTTGGATTTGTTTGGCCAATCACCTGCCCAAAGAAGGATGGTTTCCGTCCAAGAAAGGGGCCGACTTCCCGGAATTCCCAGTTCAGTGGATGCCACCCCTCTTTACCTTTTCGTTTTGGGGTTCGGGCCCGCAAACAATGGTGTCATTCCCCAGGAAGACTGGAAATCTGTTGGTACCAGCTCACTGATCTGACTGGGCGACTGGGCTTTTGAGTCGAACAAGAAATATCAATTGTGTCCATGTGAGGGATGGTTTCAATTTGTTTGACCCATCAAGTTCGCTGCACGGCTGCATGGACTTCGAAGATCAGGGGTGCTTTGCAAAACCACCAGCACAAAGTCAAACATAGGCTCGTGCAAGGAAGCTGCTAGTCTAGCACAAGTTGCCAAAGACGCGACTCGCTCGAACTCGTCACACTTGGAATCACCTTTCTGGTGGTGGAACAGCCAGAAGAAAGACACCGTGGTGTTCAGCTGACAATTCAAACAACTCTTTGCGGAAGTCCCGCACAAGTCCCCGGGCAGCCCTCGGATGGTCCCAAGGCGCTTCTAAGAGAAATCCTCCTTTTCGCGTATGTTGCAGCCGTGTGCATGTCTGGTGGTGGGGGAGAGGTGCAGAGGATCTTGTTGACAGTGAGCTCAGCCAGTTTCCTGTAGCTGGTTTCCATCTGAAAGGGGCCCCGGGGGGGGGGGGGCGGAGGGTCTGGTCGGGGGGTCGGGGCTTCGAAGCTTAGGCCCAAACCACCGCCTCTGCGGACATCAAGTCTGAGATGGGCATGGACTTTGATTGCGCCGTCATCCAGGCAAGCTGATCCCAGGGGTTTGGTGTACTGGAGGGGGCGTCACCTGAAGCAGTTGCACTTAGTTTTTTTGCTTTGCGCCCATTCGACTACGCTACGGTTCCAGAGGGCACGGGCCGGGAAATCTGTGATTTTTGTGAAGTTTGCCTTTCCTTGCCTCATCGGGCCGGACGAAGCAATCATTTCGACTCCCCGCGGAGAGCGAACACGCGTCAAGTTGCCAGAATTGCTTTTCGTTACCATACCGGCCCCTTAAGGCAACCCTGAACGGAATTCCGAAGTAAGAAAGGAATGGGTTCTATTTGGGCTTTGTCGCAGCTTTCCAAGCTCTTCCTTTAAAGGGGCATGGTTTTGAGGTGCATAGGTCAACTCATGGACAGCAAGTAACAAGATTCCGAACCAGAATGCAGGGGGCGAACATGATTCGCCCATTGACAGGACATCCAGCACTAATGCAACGCGTGAACTCCCATGTTGAACTAATTTCTGCGTGCCTCTCCGCTTTGCAAAACACACGGCACTATTCAGCCCTGAGCAACACAGGCTGTTTTGCTTGGTCCCTAGCTAGGCATCGCCCGGACGGGGAGTGCGAATCGAAGCAACTGACAAGCCCGACGAGCGTGGCTGAAGTTGTTTTTTGTGTGTGTGTGCTTTTCCTGACGGTACCCGTGTCCCCTTATGGTATGCCCGTGGTTTGACACATGATTTCAAGCCAGGACTCATAAACTCGTTGATCTTGATCGGGGCGGTGTCCCCTTGTAGTGGGAATCTGTCGGAACATCCCCCCTAGGACTGGGTCATGACCCAAAGGTGCTCGTACCATGACCATGGTTTCTCGAAATTGTATGGTGGATCCAACGTTGCCATTACTCCCTGTCCTGGTGCTCATACTTTTGGGGAGGTGGTGTTTCAGTGGTAAATCACATTGTTGTTTGTTGCTTGGCCAATCCAGTCAGGAGATTAGTTTAGGTTATCTAGGGGCGGGGTGGGTGTCCCCATAAAAAAAAAGGGACCTTTCACGTTTTCCTGAGATGCGGGTACAAGGCAAAGGGTTCCAGCTATTTTTCCTTAAGTAGGTAGGGCGGGTCTGAATATTACATTGTGGAAAGGCCAATTTCAAGTGCACCTTTGCTTGGCCAATCTGATGTTTGAAGAAGGGGAAATGCGGAGAGCGAGCAGGGAGCCCTGCAATACAATCCGCTCAGGGAGTGAGAACCCTCACTTGATACAACTTGCAAGATAAATGATGTATGGTCCGCCATACAACCCCCAAGCTAAGCTTTCTGCACCTATCTGACACACTGACCCCTTTTCAGAGGACAGTACTTGTTTTGGTTGCGGATGTCTAGACCTGGTGGAGTGGCGCTGAAGCCTTTCTTATTTGAGCCACTTACTCAAAACCCGGGTAGATGGAGGTTAGTAAAGGAGAATCGGAATCCTTGCCATAAGTGGGTGCCTCCGCCGCCTTTACAGTTCCTTACATGGTTCTGGGCTTGGACCATTTTGATACCGATTGCTTTTGATTGTGACTCATTTTGAGACTTTGTCATTTTGATAAGCCACCAGGTGTTCGTCCTTGGCCTTTATCAGGGCTCGATTTGCCGTGGGTACCTATTCGTGACCCACAGCCTTTTCATCTGTTCGCTCCAGAGGACATCGACTACCTGCCGGAGAAGGGCGTGGACTACGGGGACTGCGAGGTGCCGATGCAGCTCAGCGCGGAGATCGATGCTTGACCTGCATGCAGGGTGTGTTCTTGTAATGTATTCCGATCACAAGTATATGTTGATGGTGTGATTACAATAAATTCATACATCATAATGAGATTTAAGTGTATTAGTGTGTTCGATCAGATATATATATATATATACATATTATCGTACGTAGATTGATGAGCACTCGTGAATTCGAATTGATGCAAGATATCAATACGACGTTTGTGGACTCGCATCGGACTCGAGCGGACTCGACCGCTTCAGATTCCAAACAGAGTGCCACATATGTTTAGGCATCAAGCTCGACAATCCAAAGGGAGGCGAATTGTTCAAAAACAACAGCGATAACAGTGTTTGAAACATGTTTTAAACAGTTGGTTGGCCCACCCTGATTCCAGAGCCGGGCTTTCCTTGGTTGAAGTGTCCACACTTCAATTCCCTTTGTGTTGCGTTAGACTGAGTCATGTCAGAGATTTCTCCCAGTTCAGCCCCCACAAACCCCAGCATGCGCCACCAAGCAAGCAAAGTGACCAAGTTTGTCCGTGATCTATCTTTGGTTGTGCAATTTTGGTTTGTGAAGGGAACATGAGAGACCCAACCTGGAGGGATCTCCCCATGTCAACACCCTGATGGCAAACCGCGTCTCAGGAGTTGGCGCGGCCTTTTCGGGAGGGAACAAAGGGGTCCAGGAGGTCTTGTTGTTGGCGAATTGGGAATCTTAAAGTCCATCACTCTAAGGACACGGAGATTCCACTTTGAATCATACAATTGTATATATGAACAACTCCTGCACCAACGTATGTCTTTTTTTACTTGTATTCATAGGGCTTCATCTATGCCATGCAGGATTTTATTCAGCAGGGCCACTTGCTGATTCTCATCAGGGCATCAACCAGGGTGGGAATGAACCGATGGATCCTTTGGAAGGAAGCCACAATTGGTGATGGTTCGTAGGTCATCTGAGCCATAATCAAAACCCGGGTAGTTGGAGGGCAGTTAGGGATAGTCCCAGCCATAAATGGTTGCAGCCGCCATTCCTTGCATGTTTTTGGGTAGACCTTTTCAATAAGGGGTTTTGATTGTGACTGATTTGAATGGCTGAAAGCAGGGCCCTTGGCTCGGTCGCTCGCTTGCGCGAAACGCTTCGCCTTAGGACAGATACAACTGGAAGACGCCATACCTTACCAGCGCAGGTGGCATCGTTGGAATGAGCCACCTGGCCAGAACCCAAAAATATGTCATGTGCTACCCGCAATGTCGGAACGGGCACAGGAAGTAGTACATATATATATATATGTAAATATGGTCACCTCCCCCCTCCCCGTGCCCACCTTTCTACTTTTTTGCACAAATTTAGTTGCAGATGTTCAGTGTCCACTTGGTTTGCAGTTGCCTTGCAGAAAACACTGTACGTTACAGTGTTCGTGTGAGAGTTTTTATATTGTGCCAGATGTTCTTTGTGTGCTTGATGCGAAACAAGACTCAATAAATCAAACAACACGAAATCGAATAGCATTTTCAGATGCAACTTTGTCGCAGTGTGTTTTCAAGGAAACTGCAAAAACACACACCCACACACACAAACTTTTTGTGTTTGCGTTATTTGATGGTTTCAGCTCCAAAACACGCACAGGCTCAAACCAACGCACAAAATCAACAGTTTGTTTCTGAGCCAGTGCAGGTTTCAGAGCTTTCTGCTTTGCATGTTTTTCACTGTTTTCGAACCTGTGCAGGTTTTGGAGCTTTGGCTTCTTAAAGCATGAGCAGCCTCAAAAAACACGCAAACAACTCCAAACCTGCAAGCTCCAAGACCTGCACAGGGTTCCAACAATGCAACAAATGCAAAACCCAGATGCAATGATGAGGGCAGGCTTGTTTGGGGTAGATTTCTGCATTTGGTGCATTTTTGAACCTGTGCAAGTTTCAGAGCTTGTAGCTTTGGATTCGCTGCACTTGTTTGAGCTCGTGTACGTTTGGAGCTTTACTGGGTTGCACTCTGAGACTTGTTTTTTGCGGACTTGGTTTCAGCCTCAGCGCCTGCGATGGCGGCTTGAGGGTTGGAGACTTGTAGCAATCGGCACCCAGCGACTAGCTCTACCTGGCCTAGCCATGGACAGCTTGCCAACTCCGGCACGCGCGCCCGCTGCCGTTAACAGCGCTGGCCCTGCACCGGACGCGGCCTTGAACTTTGCCGCGGCGCTGCAACTTCTGTCGACCTACGTGGAGGGTTGGCTGTGCCTCAGGGGTACGCTCGGCACCCCACCGCAGCTGCAGGAGGGTACCAAAGGCTATGCCTTGCCCTGCTTCGCAACGGGAGCACTGAGCATGAGATACAGGCTGATTGAGCCTGGAACACACGATGTTGCAACGGCCCTCTCCCCTTAGACATGACACCAAGAGAAGAGAGTAGAAGCAACAAAAAAGCAAAACATCTGCTTTGATTTGTGAAGAGAACCTTTCTTCATTCTGTGTTGCGCATGTGGGCCCGTCTTAGACTTGCCGCGCGCTGAGCTAGCTTTTGCTCAGCTGTTTGTGTGGCGCCTGCCGACGCAGTTATGTCTGCCCAGCACCGTGGTCTGCGATGCGTTCGTGCTGACCCTGCCGCGCCTGCCGATGAGCGGGAGCGTCGCCTGTGGTCCTGCGCTGGATGCCCTTGCGCCTGGCTGCAACATAGTTTCAGGCTCGTCCCTTCACCGACCGCTGCGCATTGCCAAGGAGCCATCATTTCATGATATGTGGCTCCCCCTATATTGATTCAGGAAGCCAACCTGGATTCTTCAGGTGTTCATACCAACCTGGGACATCCAAAACCGGTACGTTTGGGCCGTTGACAGAATGTGGGCGCGTAGAAGGACCACCCAATTGGGCCTGGCAAGTCTGCCGCTGCGCTGATTGCCGTCAGCATGAAAGTGTCCGGCGATCTGAAGCGGCTGAAGGCGATGACTGATTCGCTTCTGACTTTTGCCAGGAACATATACGCCCTGCTCCCAGAAAAGTCAAGATTGACAAGAAAGTCATTGCGTCTGCCCAGTCAGTGATTATGCATGCTGACCCAGATGCAGGAAGCGATGAGCAAGAATGCATGGACTGCTGTGATGAAGCTCCGTGGTTGGCCTCAGCCCCTCGTCTGTCCTTGCGCTTCACGGCTTGAGATTACGCGTTGGCTACACGGGCGTGCAAGCTGCTAAAAACGCAGCAAGTCTGTCCCGGCTAAGGCTGATGACGCCTGGTTTGCGTGATGAGAGCCTGGCGGAGATCACTCGCGCGGCCTTCGCGTGAAGTTGTGGCGGAGGAGAGTAAGGACAAGAGAAGGATGAGGACAAGGAGGAGTCCTCCTTCACAGTCGGCGCCAATGCTTGACCAACAAGATGCTTACCAGTGCTTGACCGAACTGCCAGCTGGAAGTCACAGTATTGCATGTGCGCTATGCTGCGTGTGTAAGCCACGCAACATCAATTCGCATGATTGGCAACAGCCTTCAACAGTGCTATGAGCAAGAAATGAATAAACACAGCTTACAGTGCGGGTTGCGCGGCTTCAATGCGGAGTTGCCATGGGCCATATGCGCAAAACCCTGCTCTTCTTCCCGGGGAAAGACAGCCGTGCGTTGTTGCGATGGTCTAAGTTTTCCAGGTATCTACGCCGCAGCCGTCGAGCTGATCGTTCACGCTGGCAAGACCGCTTCTTGGCGCCGTCGCGGCGCAAACCGAGCACACACGACGCTACGTCTACCATGAGGGTTCACAGGAAAGAACCACACAATTCACACACTGATGATCCAACATTCCATGTTTCCAAAAAAAAGCCTACACATTGAAGCCCCCTCAGCGAGCCGCTTTCGTCGACAAACCCACACCCCCGCGTGCCGCAGCGCAAATCCGAAAAAAGTCGAGTTCATAAGTTACTTGTAAGTTGTTTGTATATTCGCCCTCAGTTGTTTCTGTCTTACCTGAACCAAGCCATAAGTTCCATAAGGTGACCATATCTAAGTTATGAATGCACCTAGTGAGATGGGGAACTTACGCAATTAAAGAACTTACGCCCTAGGTTAGACGGCCGTGTCTGTGTAGAAAACCAGCCACGCTCAGCACAATTCCCGTCACAGGGCGAGAAGTCTCACAGGCGCAGAAGAGGCGAAAGCTGGCCGCGCGGCTCGCCGACCAAATAAAGATTACGGTGGCTTCATGCACTTTCTGAGCAAGGAGCAGTGGCAGCTTTTGCGGAAGCGCCGCTTTGCGAGAGACAGGGCCGAAGTGTTGTCCGAATGCTTGCGCTCCTATTTGCAGCCGTTTCCAGACGCTGGCCCTGGCTTCTGACAGCACGGTTACTCAACAGCTTGAATGACCTTGTCTGAGCTTCTGGCAGCAGAGCAACCCATGAAGTATAGGTCAGTATCAAAACGACAAATAGAACATAGTAGAACAAGTATATATATATAGATATATGCTCACCCCTACTATCGAAATTGTCAGTGTCTACAGACTGTACAAGTGCAAAGGTGGAGTGTATATATATATATATATGTATACACATATAAGTAGGCAGATGATGTGTTTGATTCAGTCAATGTGATTGATGTCAATACTGGGGACCCTTTGATTGACGGATGGGCTTTGCGGGAAACTGACATGAATCCATCCGGACACGTCGCCACGGCATGTTTACTTGATATTGGTTTTGGGGCACAGGAGCTGTCTACAAATCGTACGCCATTTTTAGTTGCCTTGTATGTAGAAAGAAAGGCTTTTGTGGAAACCCACCCCTGTAGGATATTAGACGGGTGTTTAAAGAGTATTACACAATACCCTAGAAGAGAGAGAGAGCTAGTGATATCCACAAAAAGCACATCCAAACCGTTCTCTACATTGCGGGTATGAACAAGAGTTTGAGACGACATGGATGGCGCAGCCATTAGACACTCATGATGTATTCGCTGGAAGGGTGCCCTCAAACTTCATTGACAATGGCAAAGTCTTCCATGAGGGTTGAGTTGATTGACCTTGTCGGTACAGGATCGATTGATTTGATCAGGTTATCGCAACGGACCTCAATTCACAACCGTCATAGAACCCTTCCGCCTCCCAATTCCCAAGAACCAAACATGAGTCATTTCTGACAAACACCTACCCTTGCATTCGTACCAAGCCTTCAAGCAGCAGCAAGTGTGCTCTCACGCAAGTCTCAGAGAACAAGCAATTCTATGAGGATTCTGTTCGCCAAGGTGACTGTTCCAACGCCACCCCCTACACACAAACCGGATCAAACCGGGTTGTAACCCCCTCTAATCACAGGGCACGTTCCCTTGTCAGGTCCCTTTTTGTGAGTGCCCCGACCGATTCTTTACCTTGGCTGCAAAAGTTGCAACCGGAGCGAGCACTGACTCTCGCGTGTTGCTGCGGAACCGAGGCTTGCGCCATTGGCGCAAGATCAACGGCTTCGGCAACAATTACTTCGGCTGGGGCGGGGAGGATGTGCCACGGGCTGCCGGCTTGCGCAATGGACAATCATGGGGCTTGACCATGGGTAGCTAGTTCCAGTTTGTGGGAATTCTCATTTTTTTTTAGCAAATTGTCCGTCATTCCATGTAAAGGATCTTTTGATGAACCCGCACATGTAAGGCAAACAACGTGGTCGCTGTTGAGATCAGATTGAGCCTGCGAAAATGGTTTCCCTTGCAAAGACCGCATGGTCACAAAGGTGCGTCCTGACCAAATAGCCTGACAGTTGATCATGGCACGAAGAGATTTGTTACATTCTCACCCAGGGACCCAGCGGCCCTGAAACATGGCCCCGTGGTTTGTTGGCCCTTTCTTGCCAGGAACCAGCCATGGGAGTCTCAAATTCAGGTAACACCAGCATATCCCCTCAACCTTTGCCGCAAGCATAAGCCCTTTTGGGGTCGAACTCAGAACGGCAGAAACCGCACAGATGCGTGGTGTCCCTTGGAACTCCCGTGGGAACCAGCCCAAAAAGGACCCACAATGTGCTCAAGGTTTTAAAATCACCTTTTGGGGCCAGTGTTGATTCAGGCTAGAGTGACCCCTGTTCAGTGGCACCTTTTCCGCATGCTTGAAGCCGCCAAAATTGGGTCAGAGTCATAGGTGTCCTTTCTCGGTCAGTTTGGCTAGAACCAGATGGCACTGGTTTACCCTTGCTTCATTCCATCTACCAGGGCCATGTATTTTTCCATCAGGCCACCTATGGTTGGAGCCATCTTTCGGCTTAAATTTTGATGTACCCTGGAGACGTCGATACACCTGGCGAGCGGGGGCGACTCAACCCTTTAGGACGACGAGCTTCACCACCGGCTGCGCTTGAACGGGTTGCTGTATGGGGACTGCTCCCTGGCAATGGAGCGAAGGAAGCGCATGAGCATTTGGCTGTGGGTCAAAACCAATCAGATCCCATTTCGGGGTAGGTGCACCACCCATTTTAAAACCTATTTTAGTGGGGATTGTGGCCCGAACTCATTTTATGCGTTGTTTCGCGGACGTTATTGTCCCTTGCTTTTTTTTTGGGGGGGGGATACCAGACCGGCCATATGGGCGCGCCCGAAAAGGTTGAGTTACTTAATTTATTGTGATTTTCTGGTTGACCGGATTGAGCCCACCATGGCTCTTTTGCAATCAATAGCGTTGTGGCCGGAGCCTCCCCTCCTGGGGCCCAACCCTCAGACCTAATTAAAGGTGCTTGGTGATCATATGAGTCCTTTCGTGTCGTTTGCGTGATGCTTTTTGAGGGGCAAATCATTAGCAAGGGCTTGATTTGGGTGTGTCAAACTTGTGGTGGTTTTCCTTTTAGTGTTCTTTGGAACCGAGATATACGCGTATCCCCCAAGAAGCCTTACACTCATTTATTTTATAAGGGTCAATTTGACCCTCTCCCCTCCCTAAAAACATTATCCTTCCGCCCAACCATGGCTTGGTGTCCTTTTGTTTTTTCCCCAGCTACAAGCTATGAGGTCTCTGCCCAACTAGGCTCCTTCGTTGTGGTTTGG